ATAGCAAATCTTTATATTTACCTTTAATAATTTTGTTTTTGCGTGTATATATATATATATATATATATATATATATATATATATATATATATATATATATATATATAAATTAACTTAACGCTTAACTGTCGAAAAATACTTTCAAGACATTTTTGTAAATGCCATAAGACATTTTCACAACACCAGAACATTTGTATAAGATATTGCAATTACAAAAGAATATGTTAAAGTAAAAAAATATAAATAAAATAATAGTTAGCTCTATCATCTTGAACAAAATAATCATTGAATAACTTGTATAAGCATTGAATAACAAAATAAACATTGAATAAAAAGGTATTATGTGGTAGGGAAAAGTAAAAAAGTATGTACACTTAAAAAAAAAATTGTTCACCTTTCATTTTGGTCTTTTATGTTGCTTATTTGTTTTCACAAGAGATATTTTAAATATTTATTAATTATACAACTAATATTTATCAGTATAAAACTGATAGATGTTAGCTGAATCATTATTATTTTACTTTAGAGTCAATAGTTGTAAAGAAACCATGTAAAGAAACCAGAAAGTTGAAAGAAACCATGTCTGTTTTCATTTATACCATATTTACATATAAACAATCAACATGTATGTGATGCTGTTATTTAGTCTGAAACACTAAATACTTTAATGTAAAACTGCAAATAACTAGTTATCACCAAATATCCAGTGTTTTTTAAAGTTAGAGATGCTTTTTTCAAACCTTCACAAAGTGTAATTAAAGTTAGCAAAGCAACAGAACAAAACATTGTTATTAAGTGATATCAATTTTAATAAAGTATTGCATAGTTGATGATATTTCAGTTGTGGAACAATATAAACATGCCCTCAGAGTTTCAAAAATTAGAAAACCATTTACAAAAATGTTTGATACAATGTTTTTATCATGTTTTATACTTGTAATGTTACTTTCCAGCTACTATTGCTAAGTAAGGTCGCATCAAGTTGTTAAAATAAACACCCAAAAGTAACCAGATCAAATATCAATTTGTCTTTTAGAAAAGTTTTATTTAGAATATCATGAATTCGATAAATTTAACAAGTTCATAATAAGCAATACAAATTTTATTATTTCTTTATAGCGATATTTCTCTTCGTCGTTAATGTTTTGCGTGTTTTTGATTCCCTTTTATAATTTTTACACCTTTAAACATTTTAAATATAATAATATCATTGAAATATGTGACTTGGTCGAGTAGATATAAACGAAGTAAAAAGGTACATCTTCAAGCGCAATCACTGTATTTTCGGTATTCTGGGGCTTTCCAATATGGCGGCCGTACAAAATATTGGCTTCACTTTTGATATTAGAGATGCGCTATCCAGTTATTATAGAGATCAGTGCTCAGAATAGGCAGAAATATGAGCAATCTGATTCGCTGATTTTGAAAGAGAGGCAAATGCGCTTTATTTAAAAATAAATTTTAAATCTAAACAGATTTAGAAATAAATTTCATAGCAATGATGAACTAAGTTTATCAATACAAGTCTTGTGTTACTATCAACATCTATTTGTAACAAAATCAATTTGTAACAAAATCTATTTGTAACAGAGAATTTTCACTCGTAAAAATCTCAAAGTTTCAATAATATTCATCTTGGTGATGGAGGTTTTATCTGTTGTTAATTTAAAGAAATAGAAAAAAGTGTAATTCGAAAAGATCTTGGGCTGATTCTTATAATTATTATTATCCTTGTTGAGTTTAGCTATGTTTATACTAAAACTAACCTGTTTATATATTTTAGTTTACATATTATTATATGAAGAATAAACCCTTCTATGTTGGCTTAAAATTAATTATAGACTATTTAATTTACTACACTACAGATCTATAAATTTATTTCTCGCAAAATATGTTCTTGGCCTTAAAGCATACTCAAATACAAAGTTTATATACAGTTGTACAAGACTACTTGTGAAGTACTTTTGCATATGAAGATTATATGCAGTTTTACCAGACTACTGATGAAGAACTTTATTTATAAATTGATTTATACGTTAATTATAAAGAGTTGAACATTAGAGTTTTTAAATAAAGAAAATTTGTACTGATTGCAAAACTAGCTTACATGTTTAATGTCAATATATGAGTTTTGAGGAAATTTTGTTTTCATGTTTTGTTTCAACTATTGTTTGGAGGAGACTGATTTACTTTTTATTGCATAACTCTAATAAAACATCATCTTAAACCATTAAACACTTTTTAAGAATTTAAAAAAAATTTTGGCAGGCAATATTAACTGTATGTATAAAATATTATTTGAAAGTTTAACAACAGAAGTGAAATTTATATGTTTGTCTGCTGAACAGTAATTTTTTGTGAAGTTACATATAAACAATAAAATTAAAAGCAAGAAAAAGTATTAATGTCAAATATATATATTTTTAAATATCTTCGCTTCCAACAAGGCTGCAAGCAACCACTAATTAGTGTTGGAAGTTATTGGAAGAGAAAAAATGAAGATTGTAGAGAAAGATAACGATTGACAGACGACTTAAAAGATTGCAAATTATATGAATCAGCAAAGCATGATGAAGGAAGTGAATTCCAAAGAACTGATGTTTGAGGAAAAAAACTAGACGAATAAGAGTTTTTGGAGCACTTAGGAACAGTAACAGTAAAATATGTTAACCAAATAAAAAAAACAGTAACAGTAATATATGTTAACCAAATAAAAAAAAGAACAAAATCAATTGTCATGCTATGATTATTTTGTTATAATAAAATATGTTTTGTATGTATAAACTCTTGAAATATTTAACTTAAATTTGCATGTGTGCAATTTTGCAAGATTTCTAAGTGTGTTTTTTGTCAAATGTAATGTCTATGTTCTATAAAGCATGGTCAATACAAAGTTTATATACAGTTGCACCAGACTATTGGTAACGTACTTAAAGTATGCAAAGTATAAATTTTCAGCTGAAGCAGAGGTTGTTCTATGTTACTGCATCTTTACACTGTCTTGTTAATTATAAATAGTTAAACATTTAGATTAAAAAAAAAAATTACAGATATTTTACTAAACTAGCTTACATGTTCCATGTAAATCTACAAACTCTGAAGAAGTTACTGTTTAACCTCAATATTGAGAAGGCTGATAAGACATACATCAATATTTTTCTTTACTTAACTTTAATAAAACATCATCCTTAAACCTTCAAACACTTTGTGAAAAATTAAAAAAAGTTTGGCAGGGTGTTTTAACTTATATATATAAATAGGATGAAAATTGTATATTAATAATCTATTGGAAAATTTAAAAAAAAAAGTGATATTTATTTGTTTTTCTACTGAACAGTTCTTTTGTCCAGTTACATTTAAGCGTTGATAATACTTAAAGCTAACAAAGAGAATTGAAGTTAAACAATTTAACCAAATTAGGGTGAATTATGGCAATTATTGTTATAAAAAGAACTTGATCAAAACAAGCTTTTACATTTGAAGAAGCAAGTTTTCAGAAAAACAAAAATAATATTACTTCAAGATAAAACATAACACATCTTTATTTTTAAATTATTATACAAGAGGTATTCACAGAAATTCAAAAAAAGCACACTTGATTTTATTGGTTATTCCAAAGATTACATAATAAAACTAATAATAAAATTTGGAAACATAAAAGATAAATATTTCTGCCTAGAAAAATGAAAAAAAAGTATTTTTTTTTTCTTTTTTTTAGAGAAGATGAGAAGATATTTTTTTTCTTCAGGAGTATGTAATGTAAAATAAATTAATAGCATAATAAATAAATAAATTTTCAAACTTTGTTGCTTTATTTAATTTTATTTACCATCAGTTGTTATTTAAGACTAAACGTTTTTTACCAATTATAGAATTCAATAACCAATATTTTGTTCAGGTTAAAAGCTATATATCAACAAACATGTGCTTTATATGTATTGTCTTTTAAAATTAAAATAAACAACATGAACCTGTATTTTTGCAATTTTTCTTGTTTTTACCTTTTTACACTTAGCTCTGCATAAAGGTGTGGTAAGTTAAGAGCTGTTCATTTTTGTAATCAGTTTACTATATCAAAACACACTTGTAGACATCAGGTTATAAATTTTTTCTTATAGCTTATTATGCTACAATGCTTTGTAATCTTTTATTACTATTACCAATGCCAATCTAAATCAGCTCTTGTTTACAATTGCTATTAATTTGAGAGTGATGTAAATTATCAGGGCTAGCTACAACAACCAATAAGCAATATTCTCAAACTTAAAATGTTTTAGTGGTGTATACAATTTTTAAATGGGAATAATAAGTGTAAAAATTCTGAAAAAAATAAAGTATTTAAAAAAAAATATTTTTCTTGCTAAATGATAGGATTAATGGGAACTTAATTTGAAAAAACTTATACCAAGTTAATAATATTTTATTGATGTTACTTGGTAAAATTTTAAAACTGTTAGTTTTAAAATTTTACCAAGTAATATCAATAAAAGCATAGTAAAGTTTTACCATCTCGTTTATAGTTTGTTACCATCGTTGTTATTTTTATATTTTAGAGTTATAAAAAAATAAAGAAAACAAACTAATTTTTTTAAATCTTTATTTTTAAGAAAATAAATATACTATATTGTACAAAAATGGATAAAAAAATCTTCTTTTTTTTTTGTCATTATTATTTGGCAATTACTCTATCTCACTTTTATTATTCAATACGTTTTTTGACATTTGTTTTGATTTAAACTTAGGCGCAAAAGCCTCTCTTTCAAAATTGGCGAATCAGATTGCGCATATCTCTGCCTATTCTGAGCCTGTATAGTGTTTCAAAATATGCATCCGGTACTGGTTTATCTAATAGTTTTTTTTGTTTTGTTTTTAACTTAATCCGCCACACTGGCTTTAAATTATGCGAACTCTGTTTGTTACGTCATGGTAATATTAAATAACGTTGCGTAATTATATAATGCTCAACTTGTTGTTGTTTTCGTTTGTTATTTCCACGTGCTCCAAGTTTAAAAAATGGATCAAAGTAAAGATAATAGTAAGTTTACATTTTAAAATAAATATACGATTTAAAAATAATATTTGTATAAAATAGATTCAAAAGTAAATAAAGAATATAAAATTTTTGAATATGGATATCATTGATTAAGGTGATATTAAAAAAAAGACGAGTTCCATTGTGTGTAAAACTGTCGATACTTTCACTTTCAAATATTTTCTTTTGCAAATAGATAGTCTAATGGAACGAATCAATCACTACTACATATATAACAGTCACTAAAAAAATATAGTTCTTGTAGCTTTTAAAGTAAATTATATACTCTATTACTTTCTTTTTCATCTGAGCATAATATTTTTATTTTTAATAAAGCTTTATTAATAATAAAGTTTTATTATTAATAAAACACACTATTTAAAATGAGGTGTATTATCTGTGTAAAAAATTGTATTTTTCCACCTAGACAGTTATTAAGAAATTCTTATAAAAAAACTTTCATCTTTATAACTAATTTTTTCATTTTCCAATATTTTCCATAAAAATGTTAATAGATATATTTCAGTAATGCTCAGATATTTTTCAGTAATGCTCTTGTAATTTTATTTACAATTTGTAAACCGCGTGCCCATTTATTTACTTGAACTCAGTTTTAGACCATATTTACAACTAACCTCATTGTTTTTAAATTTTAAGATTATTTATAATGTTGTTTATAGCTAAAAGAAAAAGTTATACATTGCCCCATACAGATGTTAAATAACCTACAACAAAAAAATAATATGAAAGTTTGTGTTAAAGGCAGAATATTGCTTTTAAGACCAAATAAAAGTGTTATCACAGGTTTGAGTTATGGAGTGATTTATAAAAAAAAAGTTCAACAGGAGTTCCAAAAAATTTAAGTTACTAGAAGTTTGAGTTACCAGGGGTTTGATTTACTAGGAATTTACATTAAGTTTAATTATTCTAAACAAAGTATAAGTTTGTTAAATATATAATTGGCTGTAAATCACTATTGGTGTAAAATAAGTTATGTTATATCTAGATGTTCATTGTAAAAACCACAAAGTTTTATGGGAAAGTGAAGAATGTTATGCCAATATGCCATTCATGATTTTAGTACTCAAAGTTTTGGATTGTTCACATGGAACAGATTGTAATAATGAAGCAAAGAAAACATACAAGAATAAGACAAAAACAAAGGTATAATCTTTTATCAATAATAATTACAAATAATAACTTAGTCATTTATAATTAATTGTTATTAATGTATTTGTTTAATATTTTTAGATAACTGAACACTATTGTATGAGGAGTTATAGCAATGTGCAGGGCAATAAAAAATTTTAAAACTCCAGTACAAGAAGGAAATTATATACTTCAAGGGTTACATAGTAATTTTAAAGTGGTTTACTATGGTTGTAAGGATTTTTACTATTATTTGTAATACATCAATAATAAAAAAAGTTTTAAGAATAGCATTTTAGATTTAATTTGTTGAAATGATAGTGCAATAAAAAATGTTTATATTATAACTTTATAAACCGTCTTTTTAAAAAGACAGAAAAATCATTGTATTGCTCTTTATTAAGTCACTTTATTTTCAAAAGAAATTATTATATTACATATTAATAAATACTCCTGCCCCTTCCACTCGCTTCTTTATTTTTTTAAATTCATAGGTTAATAAAAGACCAAAGTAATAAAAAAGTTGACTAGTTATAATAAAAATAAAAAAATTGTACTATTTATACTTAAAAAGGCCTTTTTTTAAGTGTTCTTTGTTGTTTTCTTTGGCTCACCAAAAAACGTATATTTTTAAACTTGGTAATCATCATTTTACAATAAAACAACATTTAAAAATTAGTTTTCATTATTTGTGATGTTAAGTTTGTGTTTTATTAGGATTTATATAGCAACTAAACTTATGAGATGGTATTAAAAGTTCGGTCAAAGTAGTTGTTCTCATTTGAAATAAAATATTTAATGCTAGTTTTTATTTTATTTTTATTATTTTATTTTTAAAATATAAATAAAACAATAAAATTGACTGAAAATATAAATACAGAAAAAAAATTTAAAAAATTAATGCCAGAGATATGAATGTTTGAAGTTTAAGTGACCGAAATTAGGAGATTTTATGGTATACTATTTGATTTAAAAAAAATAATAATACCATTTGATAATTAACAGCAAAATATCTTCTGGTTTATTTTCATCCATAATATTATTGTCTATTTGTTGCATGTGTGTATTTTATATACATTTTAAGATGTTTAGTACATTATTAAACGTCTTAAACACATCTTGTCCATACTTGGTACTGAACAAAAAATCCATCAGTAACTGAGCTAGATGAATTGATCTTGTTGACCTCATCATGTAAATCTTTGAAACGTTAACAGCAATTCACAAATCAGTTATAGTAACTAAAACTCATGAACAAATCATGACAAACTTATTTTGGTTGGCAAAAATATACAAGCTAATGCAGCATTTACATATGGCAACCAGACACAATAAGCATAAGCATGCTAATTAAATGCTAATCATACTAGCATTTGATAAATACAAATTTTTCACATTTTTATATATGTATGTGTGTGTGTATGTGTAAGTTATCAATTCATTAAGACAAGGTAGTTATAGGTTTATAAACTTTTTAGTAAAAGTTCAAAGAAGGAAAGTATAATATAATATGACTTTTGTCTTGTCTATAGCTCTAGCTTGTGTTCAGTTTATCCTTGTTCTTCTTTAGTTTGTTCAGACCATGCTATGATCCCTTTAAATCATATATCCAGATCTTATATCAGGGCTAGGCTAGGCTACACCATACACCTCAATTAGGGGGAAGGGCAGCAAATTTAAGGGAGCCTTTTGTAAATTTAGGTGTCCTTTTTGCAAAATTAAGGAGCTTCTTTTTTATTTTTATTTTTTTTTTGCAATACTTAGTGGAAAATTTTTTATATATGTATATAATATATATATATGCATATATATATATATATATATATATATATATATATATATATATATATATATATATATATATATATATTGAAATATTTTTTGCCCCGGCAGTAATCTACTGCTGTAGAGTGGTAGCCCTCCCACGAAAGATTTGAATTGGTGTACACAATTGCAAATCAACTACAACAATCAATATGAGTGCAATCGAGAAAAAATCTATTGAACAAATTATCAATGAGGCCCTAGAGCAGGCTAAAATAGGAATAACTATCAGTAACGATGTGTTTGACAAAAACTAAAAAAAGTAAAGTTGTTGATATGATCAAAATTACGTTAATGATGGTTATAACCCAAATCAAACATCAGCATGACAAAGAGATCAATGATTCGAGACAAAATCAATGGAGTAATTAACAAACCAACAACAGCAGCTAGTCAGTCTTATCTCGATATAGAAAAGCGCAACACTTATGTTAACCTTGCAGCAACGGAAATAAAAACTAGAAAAGAGAGGGAGTCAAATATAGTAGTCTTCGCTGAATGAGTCTGAAAATAGAACAGGGATTATCTTTTTCTGGATATTTCCGGAAATCCGGATATTTTTCTCAACTTTTAGTTTTTCCGGATATCAAAAATGTTTTCCATATATACAAATTTAAGAATATATTTTTGTAATATATTTTTTTAAAATAAAAATTAAGAAAAGTTAAAAAAAAAAAAAAAAACAACTCAGCTAAAAGCAAAATTGAGAGGAATATAAGGAAAAATGTATTCAAGATTTTTTCCGGATATTTTACCCTAATGATTTTCCGGATTTTTAAAATATGACCTGGATGATCTATGAATAGAAGCAATGAAGATCTTGTAAAAGAGTTTTTTAAAGCAATTTAAGTAAATAATGAGGAAATTGTTCACGTTTGTTGTTACAAAAGAAGAAACAAATAACCTAGCAATCTCAAGAATATGAACCAGGATAAGCAAGATCCAATTGGTGTAATACAAGTTGTGTTAAAATCAATAGAGACACAACGAGATGCCCTAGAAAAAGGCAACATCCACAAGGAAGAAGCGTTCAGAGGAGTATACACTCGAGAATACCAAACAACTGCAGAGTAAGAAGCCTTCAATAAAATATACAACGAAAAGAAAAGAAAGAATGAAGACCTTATGAAAGCTAGTCTGAACGAACTCTTTCGTTCAGACTAGCTTTCAATGGATCATCCACAGGCAAACTGGATCTGTGCGCTGCATTGACACAGTCCAATCTGCCAATAACAAAAAGTGTGTTTGGATTAGCAAAGAACAATCAGATCAAATCAAAACAGCAGAAACCAGAGTCAATAAAAAACAATCCTTAACTCTTTTCCACAACCATTTTCTTTTCCACTAAGTTACCATTATGCCAACCAAGACCATTGTTGGTTGCCTGTAAATCAAACCAGCCACCCTTAAATCAACTAAATCATCTGAAATCAAACAAAATTTAAAAAATATATAGCAATCCACATAAACAACTTATTTTCTAAGCAAATAATACTTGTTTGCTAATGAAGCCAAAAAAAATGAACTAGTTGCATTAATAATGAGATAGTAGAAAATAAATTTCAATTGCTTTTCTTCACTGAGACCTTGTTTGATCAAATGTCAGACACTCAACTGCCCAGTTACCAACTCTATAACAAAAATCGAGGAAGCAGAGGAGGGGGTGTAGCAATCTATATAAAGTGTGATATCCCAGCAAATGAAACAAAAGTAAATCATCTTAACTTGACAGATATCGAACAACTATGGATAGTGATAACGATAGGTGATGAATCTCTCTTAATAGGCTGCATATACCGACCAAACAATAATGATATTAGAGTTTTAAAAAAATTCATCAAATCAATTGATTCAGCAAAGCAGAGCTTGTCAATACTAGGCTGTTCTTCTGTCCTAATTTACGGTGATTTCAACTTCAGTCATACAACATATGAAGTACTTAAAACTGATGGAAACGCAGCAACAGTTGCACATATACAAAAAACGAATATGCAACGGACATTAAATTCCAGCAATGTCTCAATGAAAACTTTATTATGCAAATGGTCACTTTCCACACTCACCGCAGAAATAGAAAAGAAAGACCATATCAAGCACACTAGATTTATTAATCACTAATGAACCTGACCGCATAGATAATCTACATAAAGGCAACTCATTTGGTTACACACCGACTGGGGAAGTCCACTGCCTACTTATTGGCTCATTTGCTATAAATATTGCTTGTGTTAAAAAAGAACAAAAAAAAAGTTATCTAGAGCAAGGCTAATTATGAGGCAATCTTATTGTTAATCACATCATATGACTGGGTGACAATTTTCAATTCCCATTCAGTAAATGAAAATTATCAGGTGTTCGTTGAAAAAATTAACAAGACAGTCACCCTTTACATACCTTTAATTAAAACATCGTTCAAGCAACAAAAACAACCATTGAATAGTTAAAAAAGTTAAAAAAGAAGTTAAAAAAGAAGTTAAAAAAGTAGTTGAAAAGAAAAGAACCCTTTGGTGCAAATATCTTGCAGCTAATTGATTGACTCACATAGAGATTTGAGAAGAGCATAAGGCAGCTTGTAAAGAGTTAAGATTGTAAGATCAGCAGTTGTTAAGTATGAAAATGAAATTGCAAACTCTTTTTAAAATTGATCCAAAACGGCTTCATAACCAAGTCAAGCAGAAGCAAATAGCGAATGAAATGGTGAAGTCACTAGAAGACAACGATGGAAATCTTACAACTGATAGTTATAAAATTTCTCATTTACTTAATGTATATTTTCAGTCTGTATTTGTTGATGAACCGTTACATCAGATGCCAACATTTCAGAATCGAACAGAAACAGAATGTGTCCTGGATGAAGCAGAACTAACAACTATATCTGTTCAGAAAAAGCTAGAAGAGCTCATCGAAACAAAGTCAAAAGGCTGCGATAACATACACCCACATGTTCTTCAACACTGTACTACTGCAATAGCTAAGCCACTAACTATGATTTTCAAAAAATCCCTGGCTGAAGGCAAAATCCCTAACTTTTAAAAGTTATCAAACGTTAGGGACTTTTTTTAAAATGGCTGTAGAAAGCACTAGAAAATGCTTGAACTACAGACCAGTTTCTTTAACATCGGTACTCTGTAAGATTATGGAAAGTTTTATACACGAAAGAATCCTGAAACATTACCTTGAAAAAGGGCTCTTTACAAAATCTCAACATGGATTTCTTCCAAGACGCGGCTGTACAACCAACCTACTAGAGGCACAGGACATTTTAACAAAGCACTGTTTCATAATCATGCCATAGATGTGGTTTACACAGAATTGGCTAAAGTTTTTGATAAAGTATCTCACCAACATTTTATTTTAAAATTTGATGCATACGGCATACGTGGAACACACCTGGAGTGGATAACTGACT